TCGGTTTTTTGTAGGCTATTAAATATGTCGTTGCTGTGAATTGCAGTATTTTGTTCCTACGTTTTTTTTTATTTATGACAGGTTATTGTTATCCGTTAAAAATACCGCCCAAAGTAAACATGATGACGAAGACGTCGGCAAAAGTTAGTAATTAATATATCACGTACTCGTCACACTCAAAAAAATAACTAAGTATCTGTAATAAGAATGATATTGCTTAAACATTATTTATACAAGCTTAATTCTTATTAGAAAAATAATACCATCTCAAAGTAAAGATGCTTGCAGCTTGCAGCGACAACCGTACCATAATATGGCGTTGTGTTTATTCTTAATATACCTGGCTAAAATGCGTAAAGAATTATGTCCATTTTTCATACATTGATTGTCATGACATGTTCCTTTAACCCAGATAAGCCTACTGTCCTATATTTAGGACAATAGAAATAAAAAAAAATATCAGAATACCCTCTTTATCTAAGATTATTTAGTCTTATGATTTGCAGTAAGAAACGTGTCAGCTTTATTAGAAAAAATAAAAAAACAGTTATTTTAACAGTTTTACCTTATATTTTACCTTATAAGTGTGTAATAAAAGTGCGTTGCAGACATGGCAAATGACAGGTATGTATAAAAAGTTATATTTTACTCGTGAGTTGTTTTTTTCTGTGTTAATATCTAGTTGATAACCTTAACTTTTGTACTAAATAAATATTCTAGCAAAATAATATAAATAAATTACGTATAACTTGTTACAAATACTAGCGTACTATATATAGGACAGTAGGATAATATACATAATTTTAGTACAATAATACAACTTTTTCTTTACAGACCGTTAGCTGCGCATGAAATTTTAGATGCTTTAGAAAATGTTTCTGATAATGAAGAAGATTATAGAGAACGACTGATATGTATTCTACCTCCTCCTGTTGATCCTGACTGTCTCACTGACGAAGATTCGGGTGAAGAAGATAATGTAACTTCGAATAATTTGCCATGAAACATTCTGCTTCAACCGGCTGAAGTAATGATTCAAGGGCAGATTATGGTGAGTGATACAGAAGAAGAACCTTCTGATTCTACAGGTCGAACTAAACGTAGGCGTACCTACGCATGGAGAAAACGGGACTTGGCAAAAAATCCCGTGAATTGGCCAGATGTTCAAGGCGCTTGCCAAGATAAGCGCCCAATTGAGTGGTTTGAAAACTTCTTAGATGAAGATGTTATTTCGTTTTTGGTGTCAGAGAGCAATAAATATGCTGTCAAAAAGAATTTGCCTGGAGACATAACCACTGAAGATATGAAATGTTTCATCGGCATATTGTTGGTTAGTGGTTATTCATGGCTCCCCCGTAGAAGAATGTATTGGGAAAACTCCCCTGATACAAAGAATGAATTGATCAGCTCGGCTATGACTAGGGATAGATTTGACTTTATTTTTCGCCACCTTCATGTCAATGATAATCTGGATTTGCAAGACAAATACATAAAAGTACGCCCCCTAGTTACACTTCTAAATAAAAAGTTCTTAGAGTTTTCTCCTCTTGAAGAGCATTACAGTGTAGATGAGGCCATGATCCCCTACTATGGTAGACATGGCTGCAAACAGCACATAAAAGGTAAACCTATTAGGTACGGGTTCAAAGCTTGGGTTGGTGCTACACGGTTAGGGTATGTTTTATGGATGGAACCATACCAAGGTGCTACAACTATGTGCAATCCAATATATAAAGAATTGGGGCTGGGTGCAAGCGTTGTTCTCACTTTTTGCGATGTGCTGATTTCACGTGGCTTCGACCTTCCTTACCACGTAGTTTTTGATAATTTTTTTACTGGGACGCCCTTGCTGGAAGAGATAACAAAGAAAGGCCTTCGTTGCACTGGGACAGTTCGAGAAAACAGGACATCTAGTTGTCCTCTGATTACATCGAAGTTACTGAAAAAAAAGGAACGTGGTGCTGTCGATTACAGAACGACACATGACAACACGTTCATTATTGCTTAATGGCATGACAATAATATATTCAGTATTGCTTCTAATGCTGTATAAATAAATCCTAAACAATCTGCCAAACGCTTCTCACAAAGTGAAAAGAGAAACATTATCATAGAAGAACCACATATGGTGTCCATCTATAACAAATATATGGGAGGAGTGGATCGGTCTGATGAAAATATTTCACATTACCGAATTGGTATACGAGGTAAGAAATGGTACATGCCGTTGCTCACACACATGATTGATCTTGCCGAACATAATGCATGGCAGTTATATAAAATAAATCATGGAAAACTGGACCATCTTGGCTTTCGCAGAAGGGTAGCAATTGCTTTGATTGAATCAAACAGAAAAAATGCCAAAGAGGGCCTAGCCGACCCTCCCATCATGAACATGCTGATAGTCGTAAAGACCAAATGAATCATCTGGTTATTCCTCAATCGAAGCAAACACACTGTCGTCAATGTCACAAAAAATGTTTGACACGTTGCAAGAAATGTGATGTTGGAGTGTGTGTCAAGTGTTTTGAAACATATCATTCATAAATAGTGTTAATCTAGTAAATTACATATAACAATGGGTAATATAATCAATAGTTATCTAATAAACTACACTTTTTGATTACATTCTGTTTTGTCATAAATGGTCTTTTATTTCCTCTTATTATCCTACTGTCCTACATATAGGACGGCTGTTTCCCTGAAAGCCTTACACTTAATTTTTTTTTCATAATTTTTTTTATGTTGCATAAGATCTAATAAACTAAATAATGTAAATTTTTTCAAAATTTTCAGAAAATTTTAGTTTCAGGCTTATCTGGGTTAAGGTCGTGTCTAGAGTTCGTCACATGAAAGAAGTCTCCCAGATCACAAAGTTTTCGCTTTTATTAAAAAGGAATAAGTGTTATAACGCGGGACTATTTTCGTGACACAGACTTTACTTCCCATTAGTGATGATTAAAATTAGTTTTTTGCTTGCTTCTTTTGTGAGTACTTTGAGAAATTTTGAACCCACCGTAAGGACAGCTTCTAAGACCCTGTCATTGTATTTGTCCACATCCGAGCAGCTCTCTAGGCAATCGAAACGATTTTGAAGCTCGAGCTGAAAGTGCTCAGGGTCTTGGATTTGGGTGGCTTCAGGACGGAGCGTAGACTTTATCAGTCGATACCGTTCGACTTTTACGTTTAGATTCAATGCGCCTCTTGCCATACGGTGATGGCTTCTCGTATTAAACGAATTGATCACTGAGACGTCATTGAATATCCGTGCCTTAGTCGACATGATGAAGTCAATCTCGTTTTTGTCACCCCATCCGGACTCTTCCAGGTCCACTTCGGATGCATCCGTTTTTTGAAGGAGTTCATCATATAGAGTCCCTCCCTCTCCAGTCGGCTAGCATTTGACCACGGTGATACCGGATCCCAGATCCAAATTACCCTACTTTCAACTCCTGGGTTGAAGTCTTCCATGACAACAGTGTAGTGGGTCGTGGAACCATGTATTGCCCGAGAAATGCCCTCATACATGGCTTCCACTTCTTCGTCGGGCTGTATGACATTCAGCGAATACCGTTCAGTGATTCTGAGTATAAGGTACGCCACCCTACTCGATACAGTTCCGATCTGTACAATATTGTTCACGAGAGACTTGTGGACGATAAACCCGACGTACGATCTCACGGAAATAGAGCAGGTTGCCGGATTTAAGGATCATCGTGTCCTCGCCCACTCTTCGGACTTCGGATTATCCTACAATACTCCAACGAATCCGGCCCAATTCCTTCTGTAGTTCCAACAGCTTCTCCTCGGTCCGCAGTGTGCCTGTATTCTGGCTCTATTGATCCTATCCAATGTCCCCAATGCCCGCAACATCTTCAAAGCCAAAGACCTTCGTCAGGGCCAAGGTGACGGGCGATCTTTGCCGCCCGGAGATTCATCGCACCCCTGTAGCCTTTGCCGAGTCGATGTTGTTCGGACCCCATTTCACCCCCTAAATATTGTGTGGATTGCCTGAACATTGATGAAAATAGTCCTGTAAGGTCCTGGATAGCCCAGTGGTTAGAGCAGTCGCCTGGTTTGCGAAAGGTTATGGTTGGAATCCCATCTCAGCGTGCGAGGGACCAAGTGGATTTTAAAGCATTTTTCATTAAGAATATCGTTCTACATGTCTGGTCGACTGGGCCGGCCTGTCTATAGGCAAACTAGGCAATTGCTAATTGGATATTAGGGAGGCGGAGGCATGAGTAGCTCGGTGGCGTAGTGGATAAGCGCCGCGGCCCGCGATCGTAATCGTTAAGCAACTTTCGCAAGGGTCGGTCACGGGATGGGTGACCAAAAATTATTATCTCGAGCTACTCCGTGCTTCGGAAGGCACGTTAAGCCGTTGGTCACGGCTGCATTTGCAGTCGTTAATACCCTCCAATCCGCATTGGGCCAGCGTGGAGGGTCATGGCCCATCCTCCTTAACCATCCATAAGGAAGGCCTGAGCCCCTGCAGTGGGGACGTAAAAAGGGCTGGTGATGTGTGATGTGGAGGCATGTTATGGCAAACCGGTTTGATTATTACCGGCTGATTTGATTATTTCTACATAATATACTTGTATCATGCTTATATTGGGTAGGTACTAGGTATATTTCAAACGGCGCAGCCATTTTTTATAATCTAATCATTTGACTCTTAAAATAACGATAAGATATTGCTGAAAAATTTTTGTACCACTCTCTCAACTAAAAAAAAACTAATTTAGATTCAAACAGTATGCTATAATCACATGATGATATTTAAGAAATATTGATTATCCTCCTCTATACTATAACAAGTTACTGCTGTTATTTTAATCTTTCATGGGATTAAAATAATTAAAATACTCATTGCTTAAACCAATTAACCTTCCAACCAACAATATGCTGTAACCATGTCTAACAATTTATTTTTATATCAGCTTTGTTAATCTGTAAAAACACAGCACAGAACATAATGCTGTTGTAGCATTATTAAAATAACTATCAGTAAAAACCATAACTTTATTAAATAAGAACATCTACTATGTACCTTATTAAAACATTACAATAAATTAAGGACTAAAATCTAAAATATATTTACAGCCAGTAAATCCCTTAGAACTTAAAGCATTTCCTAAGGCTTCTTCATAATTATTAAACTTTACCATTTTATGAACAGGGCCTTTAAGGTTTTTTTCACACATCAAATTTATAATTTCTGTTGACATCTTATCTTTCTCTGCTTTTGAAGCTCTTTCATTCCATTCTGTCATCCAAAATCCATGACACGTTAGATTTTTAAATATAAATGCGCCTGTGGGAATGTTAACTGGTTCTCTTGACATGCCACCATATGTGACCATTTTGCCAGAATGCTGCAAATGTCTAAGCATTTCTAAAGCATTCTTTCCACCAATACAGTTGAGAGCTAATGATGGTTTATCAATTTTTTTCTCTTTAAAAATAGTAGTTGAACGGACCTCTTCTTCTGTTAACACATAGGTAGCTCCTAAGCTTTCCAAATATTTCTTTAGTTCATTGATATCAGGTCTGTTTCGAACAATATTAATATTTTTTATATCCCAGGCTTTGCAAATTTGGATGACATTCTGACCACAGGCACCATTAGCACCATTTTGAATAACTACTAAGCCATTCCTTGCAGGTACAAAATCCACAAGCATTCTGTATGCTGTGCATGGATTCACAGTTAAAGTTGCGGCTTCTACAATGCCTAAGCCATCAGGGACAATTCTTAAGACATCTTTATTAAATGTGGCGATGTCTCTCCAAGTACCTTGTACTGGTTTTGTTATAATTACTTTATTACCAGCACAAAAGCCTTGCACATCCTTTCCAACTTCTTGCACAATTCCAACCCCTTCATTTCCAGGAATACACGGTAAATTTACTTTTACAGGATATTTGCCTAAAACAAATAATTACAAGGTTAACTGTTAAATGTTGAAAGATTGATACCTTACAAATAAGCAAAATCAATACCTTTCAATTATGTCTTGTATATGTAGGATCGGTAATTTACCATTGCAATGTTTTTATCTGTAAAGATTTGATTTTGATAGTGATTGGTAGGTACCTTGGATAGTGTTTATATCAGCCGGGTTTACCGGCGCAGCTAACATTCGCACCAATACTTCCTGGTTTCCTAATGGCGGAACTATGCACTCTCTGAATTTGACTACTTGCAGAGGATCTCCAAATTCATTGTACACTAGTTGTTTAGACATCAGATTTCTTATGCCAATTTTGATGTTGGTTGGAAATTTTAGAAGTTTTTGTGTAAAAGTTTTAGTGAATGGTAGAAGTGCCATGGTTTTATAATACTCTATTTTACTTGATTAGTCTATTTTACTAGTCGCTACGGTACAATTTTGTTTACTTAGTTCTCAAATATAAACTTAAATTTTATATTTTTAATAGGACTTTTGTCCATCCATTTTCCTATATTTAGAGATAACCATAAAAATTGATTAGTAGTTTGTTATAATGAATTAAAAGCGAAGAGATTTGATACATACTGTCGTGTCAGAGGTACATTTTATTTTTTGTCATTTTAATAAAGTATAGGTAATGAACTATTCTAATAATGTTAGTGAGGAACTAAATAAATAAAAATATTAAAGAAAATAAACATGAGCTCAGTGCCGGTTTTAGCACTACTAGCACCCTGGGCGAAATTTCTTCGGCGCCCTCTAACTGCAATTCAATTACAATCAGTTACTACTACATACTACAAATCAGTTACTTGTCTTTTTTTCGCCGACCCGATCTACTTACTTATAATTTTCCCAAAATTTAGGTAGATTGTTAAGTTGGCAGCATTAGAATGGAACGTAGTGTTCAATCGGTTTAATTTCTCGGGAATTTTTTTTTTTTTTGACGAAGACGAACACCAACTCAAATCAACAACTCTTTTAATTTTGTTTTGTTTGACATAAGTGGACACTCTTAAAATAATTATTCGATTATTTTAAAACAAACAAACACAGTAATCAAACGTTAAACGCTACGTTACGATGCTCTTGTTCCAACTATATAGTGATATTTGTTCTTAGGGATTTTTCATCCAGAATTTCTTGAGTAGCTATTCCATCTGATTTGCCAGACAGAGACTCCACTGTCGATGCATTCGTTTGGATTGCAGCATTTTAGCTTCAACTTAACGTTTAAACCTGCTCAAACGAAAATTTTCTTAAATGACCGAGCGATAATGCCCGCCAATGTACGTCACGTTACCTAATAAAATACATATCTTCATATTGTAATCGGTATGTTGTTCTGTTTTACCATAATATAATATTTTTCTTGTTAAGTTTCCTTTCAATTCATGCTGAAAGTGAGGCAACTTGAAAATAAAAAAATCCTCAAGGTTCTTGTTTTTTTTCGCCGACCCAGCAGTCCTTGTTCAATGAGCAAGAGAACTATAAGAGGGCGTCTGTGGGAAATGAGGAAGTATTAGAAAAAAAAAATTGTTCCCGAAATCAAACTAGATGTCGCTACGGTATATTCTTGATTTCTCCATGGCAACCCTTCCAGTTTTCTTTCAAGTTTAAAAGTAAATTAGTTTTCAAAACTCAATTAACAAGTCATATTTTATTTGTACTTTTTCGTATTTATATTGATATCTAAGTTTCGAACTTTTCAAATTTCAGTTTTTTAATATGTTAGTTAAAATGAACGGAAATGACTCTTTTGTTCCATTTGTTTCCTGCAAAAATCAAGTTTTGCTAAAGTCGCCATCCAGGTGGAGGTATTTTTGTAGAGCTTTCTTTTTTTTTTAATACTTCCTCATTATACTGAATCAGAAAGAAGCGCCGGACGAAAAAGAGGCGCCGCGGCCTGCGGCGCCCCTTTTCGTCCGGCGCCCCTGGGCGGTCGCCCAACCGCGCCCTACCCTAACGCCGCTACTGCATGAGCTCCTAAAATAACATCAAAGTGTACAACTGACATTTCGTTCAAAACTGCGGTTTTATAGAATAGTGGTTGGACATCAAGTCACGATGGTTTACAGTGCCTTATAAATGTCATTCGACAAACCTCTTGACTACTCTATTGTTTTATCGACATGCGCCGAAATATGGTCCAAAGCACATCGTTGTTTCATTCATTGTTATGAATTGTTGTTATTATTATACGGGTTATTTACTCTACGAGTTTGACTCTTGAAAACAAAAATGTTTGAAACTTTTATGTCCTTTTATATTGGCGTTAAATTCGTATCAACTTAGACTTTCGTCAAGTTAAAGTGTTTAGTTAGTGTTTTTGAAAGGTTTAATAGTCAAGGAATAAATGTAAGTTGAAGTTAAATTTTATGTTATGTAATTATATCTATTCTGGTTTTGTTTATTGTTTTAGTTAATGCGGACATGATTTCCTTATGGAATAATGGGAGGGAAGGCAGGGTAGAATCACAGGAGCATTTTTAAAGGATGTCATTGTTAGGGAAGATAGAATGGAATAAAAATAAACAAACTTGGCCTATGTGTTTTGTTTATATCCTTTTCTACACAGTCGCAGTAGGCTTGCCAGTATTATTCTTGATTGAGACTACGAGAGAGCGATAGTGACATTATGTTTATTATTATATATACAAAACAGTGACCTATGAAGTTTCTATATATTTAGTACTTGTATAATATATTTATTAGTACTCGTAGACTCATCTACTCATAACACATTATTTACATGAACAAATTAAGATGTAACATTAAATATAATAAATAAAACACAAACTATATTTAGCTGTGTTTATTTAATAAATTTATAGAAAAAAAATATGAACCAATTCGACTAGTGCAATTAAATAATATACCTACATTTCCACCCTTGTTTAATACTTTACACAAACTTCGATAATGTTCAGATCCAAAGCATTATTTTTTTTCAGTAGACTAGTTTGACATCCCCATATCCATGAGGAAACGACTTACGCGCAAATCAAGATCTCTTTGAGCAAGAGGTGCTGTTACAGCTGGAGGCGCGCTGGCTTCTGGCGGGGGTAGCGAGGGCTTGGGAATTCGGAAGCGTCGTGCTCGAGTTAGTTGCCAAGTGGCGCTAGAACTGCGCAGCCCACTATGTTTGACACCAGCCTCACGATCTATAGTAGCAACTACTGGACGGGGAACACTGCCGTAAAAGCGTTAATAGTTAAATGAATACATACATGGCAATAGTAATAAAGTCTAAAAGAGTCTAATACAGTTTTAAAAGTGAAAACTGGAAAAAGAATTCCTTTTAATTTATAATGTAGTTTCGTTTACTGTTTGTAAATTGAAAATAGTAAAAAAGGTACCTACTAGTCGACAATCAAAAAGTCACGCAGTTGCAAATGATCTAAAATAGATTTTCGTGCTTTCTTTTTATATTTTGCGACTTGTTTGAATACTGAGAATGACAAAGAACACATGAATTTCGATTCCTGCGACTTCGCGTGCGTAAATTCCCGTAGATGTTTTTTTTTTTCTCAATAGGTCCAGTAATTTCAGAGCCTATCTATGCAAACAATCTAATTTTCTTTTCATAATAAAAGTATAGATATAAAGTACCTTCTATTTTGGTAGGTAGGTAGCTACTGATATTAATACGAGTAAGTAGCTGGATAACAGAGTATTTATAAAAAAAATAAAGCAAAGCTCGGTCATAAAACTTGCTATATTTAGATAGGTTTATCACTCCCGAAACCCCCTGCATAATAAATTTAATAATATTAACAGATTTCAGCTCAGTTATTTTATTTTAACTAGAATCCCCGAGTGCCATTGAAACGTTGAAAACCAGTCATCGATCTCTGTTTAAGTATTAGGGGTTAAAGTATGAAATTGCCGTTTTATTGTAATAGGTTCCTTGAATAGACATTGAATCTTCATGGTTAGAGGTTTTCGAAAGATACCTTTTTCACATAGTTTCTATGATGTTCTTCTTTTAAAAAATGTGGAACATTTGAATATCAACTTTCAATTGTTTTTAAGATGAATACTGCGAAAATTTGAGTTATTTTTTAATACGAATTCCGACACGGAAGTAACGCGGCAGAAACAGCCCGCAATATCAATGTTGCGTTTGGAGAGGGGTCTGCTAATGTTTTCGTGATGAAAATTTCGACTTGAGGAACGCGCCACGAGGAAGACCGCCCACGCAGGTGAATAACGATGAATTAAGAGAGATGGTGGAAGCCGATCCTAGTCAAACTACCCAAGAATTAGCGGCATAGTTTAACGTTACTTTACCCACAATATTGACTTATTTGCGTCAAATCAATAAAACAAAAAATACGAAAAATGAGTGCCTCATGATTTGACAGATCTGCAGAAAGAACAGAAATGAAGGATTACTGGATCAAATTGTGACATGTGATGAAACGTGGATTCTTTATTAATCGTAAAAGAAAAATGCAATGGCTTACCCTAGGCCAAACGCCACAACAGTGTCCTTAAGAAAAACTTACCAATAAAAAGGGTAAAGGTAACTGTTTGGTGGTCTCAGCATGGTCTTATTCAATATAATTTTCTCTGATCTGGTGAAGTAATAACGGCAGATGTCTGTTGTGCCGAACTCCAAACAATGTTGGCAAAACTATCAGTAAAACAGCCCTGACTCATAAATCGATCTTCACCATTATTGCTCCATGAAAACGCGAAACCTCATACAGCACGAGAAACCGTTTTGACCCTTCAGGAACTGCAGTTAGAAACCATTTGTCATCCTCCGTATTCGACAGACCCTGCTCCAACGGACTACCAAAGTTTTCTTCCCAGGAGGCAGTACAAAATGCTTACACACAGTTTGTGCAGTCTAGATCCCCGGAGTTCTATCGCAAAGGCATAAATGACTTTACTATTAGAAGGCAGCAATGTATACTTAGATAATAATGGTAACTATTTTGATTAAATAACTTTGTTAAAAATTTAAATATAAACAATTTTGATTTTCAGTACATTCATCAATTTCATACTTTAATGTAACATAAATCTCAACACTTACTATCCCATCGTGATAGCCGATCGTAGACGAGCTGGTGCTATAACAGATGGCAATTCTGAAGAAGAGTTTCTTTTGAGACCTGGTACATAGAATTAAACGATAGACTAGATATTAATTGACGGTTTACCAATTCTGTTGTATTATGGTCTAAAGTAAAAATGTTCTTATTTCATTATACAGTAATGCCCCCTTTTACGCGAGGGATATGTTCCGAAAAAAATCGCGTTAACTGAAATTCGCGTATTCGGTTTATGATTAAACATAGTCAAAGTTTAATACAAAAATAATACGAATAATTTTAATCAATCACTTTAATTCTAAGAACATTTAAAGCAATATACATACTTTTAACTACTTTTTACGGAAAAATGACACTAGATGTACTTTTGGGTAGCGGTTTTTTTACGTTATTGTAAAATATGTAAAATACCCAACACTGTTTTTAATTGTTTGACACACGATCAAGACACGGTCATCATTATTGTCTATACTCTGCAATATGTCCAAACCATTCATGGCAAACACGGGAATTCTGTTCATTTTTCAAGAATGGTTTTCAAGAATACCATTCTTGAAAAATGAACAGAAAGGCGTGGGTACGCCTTTCTGTTTGATCGCGACACAACTGGTAGACTTGTCTTGTCTGTGCCTCGTTGCATTGCACGGGGTGTTTTTGAATGGTACACTAGTAAAGGTTTCAGTTTGAAATCACCAGTGGCATAACGTGGCTTTGAATTTCGCGTTATAGTGAAACCGCGCATAACGGGGTCGCGTAAAGCGGGGTATTAGTGTAGTTTGTTTTGATGTTATTCCGTAGTCATACCTATGGAATCAAGAAGTTTAATTGGACTTTTGTTTTGTTAGAGTTTTACAGAATTAATAACGCCGTTTAAAATATTATTAAAAACTAAGAGTCATTTAACTACAATCTTGCGGATAACGATCCGTCGCACGAACACAATTCGTACACAGGGAAAAGTTCATGGTTGTAAAATTATATTTTAAGCATAGTGGACTAAACCATTGGTGAATGTATAAAAATAATTATAATTTGCCATTCTGTTGCAAAAATAATATGTACCGAATTTTGGTTTAGTTCTGCCAAACTGTTTTTAATTTTGCAAATAACTATGATAAAAGAAGTGTATTTATATTTCTTTCATTAGATATGTTTATGAAATTATAAAGAAATTTAGTTTTTTCGGCACATCTAAAACTATTTTCATGATTGCGTGCATATTGCTCAAATTTTGGTAGGAAAGTAAAAGACATCAACGCGTGTCCTTTTGAGTTATGTTAAAAATATATATTTATAGCAACATAGTACCTAACACGTATCCACTAAAAACCATATTCTGATATGTATATATCCATCCCATCACAGAGTACCAGAGACAAAGTGATTTTTTTTAGCATTATTCATTAAGAATATCTTCTAGTATAGCATTAAGAATGCAAAATTGATCAAATATATTAATGTGTATATGTCGCTCATTGAATAGCACAGTGGCACAACTCAAAAACCATAATTTTGAGAAACGCTCTCCGAAGTTATGAAAATCTAATATATTTATAATTATGAAACTCAATTTTTTTAAGCATAACAGTTAAATCGTTTGTATTATATTATTACTGTTAAGTTTTATATTTTTTATTTAAATTATGGAATGCCACCACAATGTTTTGGCGTTTTCTCGAAATAATGGTTTTTGAGTTGTGCCACTGTACAATTCAGTGAGCGATATTATCTATGGTTGGAAGAAAATGGAATCAAAAAGGAAGAATGAGCCATAACATAACCCATTACAAGGGCCAAAGGGCACGAGTGTGTAGGGCGTTAACGATGTAGATGCAGTCAATGGTATGGCTTAATGAAAGCTCTAATGAATATCTCTGTATCGGTAATGTTGTTATAAACTAATGTCAATTTTAATGGACTTTTGTGCAACTGACTGATTATCAGAGGTCGGAATTAGGTAGAGTTATTTATGTACTTGCATCGAAATGTTGATATTAATGTGGACTTCCCGGGATTTCTTTATTTCTTCTTTCTTTATTTCTTTCTTTCATTGATGTAAGTTTGGCAACGTCGTGCGTGCAGTAGTTTAAATTGTGTAAAAGTAAATAACTTTTTATTTGAAAAGTCACGGGAATTTTTCTGCTCTTTAAAATTAATCTCGGGATTTGAGGCATATCCACTTTATTCTTTCGCTGTATGAAATCAGTGTAAGTACATGAATAACTCTACCTTATTCCGACCACTGCTGATTATTATATAAATAATAAATATTTAACATTATTTGTTTATAATTATAGTCTTTTCACTGGTTTAATATATTAAATTATTAAGGGGTAGTTTTCACGCCTTAAAAACAAAAAGTGCGACTTGCAACTAAGTTAAATTTAAAGTGGAGGGTAAAATGTGCTTAATTCCAAAATTTGAGACTATGCAATTTTACAGAAATCGGAGGTAAAGCACTGTTTTTATGATCACTGAGCTATAAAGAACGGAGGTTCTTGCAATTTCATTTTAATATCGCAGATCAAAATGTGCTAACCATTCCGGCATTGTTTGACTTAAGAGATTTTTACGGGAGTCTTGTTTCTTTTAGTAAAAAATTAGATGAGAACAAAAATTATACTATTGTTAAAACATTTTATCACCAGAATATTTGATGTTCGAGATAGAGCTTTTGTCCCTCCATTTTTGTGAGCACACTGGACATACAGCGCGTCGGATCGACCAACGTGGAATTTCTTCGCGCAATGGCGTATTCACTTTTGTAAAAGCAGGAATACCCAGATGTGCCTGAAAGTTAAGAACTTCATTAATATAAATCATCATACATTGTCGAAATTGGGTTTTAGTTATTATATTCATTGCTGCTGTTTGATGCAAAAACCTGCCGTAGAAAACTATGAAAAAGTAATTTAGAAACACATTTTTTTTAGTTAAAGCTGTGTTTATTTTTTTCCTATTTTATTAAATATTATTTCATCAAAATTAAGGGTTGATTTTTTTCTATGTTCAGTCAAGAACAAATAGGTTCCTGATAATAAAAATAGAATTATATTAAATAATAAAAAAATAATCGAACTTTTTAATAAAAGAAAGTAACGGAGTAATATTCACTGGAGGCGTAGTGGTTGTGGTGAAGGCCAAAATGGAAGGTATGTCCATATCCCGTCGCGTGGATTGACGGGAGACACGGGACCTTGATACACTTCTCTCCGTCATACGCATGCTCAGTCCATGGACACATGCTTCACTGATTTGACTGTGAATATAATATAATCAAACTTTGAGTATTCATTATCATCAGTCTATTAATGTTGCCATTTCGGCGTTAGAGCGCCACAGATATCCTCCATAAGTAGAAATCATATACATCAGGAAAACAAGCCTTAGTCCAGCACGCAAACCTAGTGCAGATTGGTGGATGTTAATGATTGTGGAGGCAGTCGTGACCAATAGCTTCATATGTCTTATAAGGTTTAATAAAAATCAAAATCATTCAAAAAATTAAAAGTCTGTTTTTTATTTATGTCAACCATATACCTCGTTAATTCTATATTATCAAAATAAACTTATGAAATATATATGAAAATGTTTTTTTATTCATTTTAGGAATGATTTAAAGTAATTTTACTAGTCAGTGATCGAAAAATTATTATAAAAGACCACAATAATGTCATACAATGATATAATAACAAGACAGTATTACCAGCACAAGATTCCGACAGACACAACCGAGTCAAGAAAACTGTGCGAAAGATCTAGTTAATAGACGTAATTAAACACAGAGAGAAAGCGAGGTGAGAAAACTATAGTTTTTATTATTGTGTCATTGCCCTCCTGATAAAAAACTTTTGTCATTTTGATTGATGTTATCAGCTTGCTAACATACCTGCTTAAATTAAGCTTAATGTGTAGAGCTCAAATATTAAAATTGCAGAAATTAAAATTTTATGCATGCTTTTCATGGATCAAAAAATGGCATGTTATTTTTTTTGATGGACCGGTTTACGTTACGGAAAAAAGAAGGACTCAATAGCATTTTTATTATTACCAGTCTTTGTGTATTTAGAACTTACTCATCAGAGAGGTTGTCATCGTTTTTCAGATCGAGCGGTTGATCTAACGCTTCCTCTTGCAGTTCTCTACTGCGGGCACGCACCATGTCCAGTAATAACGTGTCGTGTCCGCCCAAATCATCGGACACCCTGCTTCTATATGAACTAGATAGTCTATTGTACGTATCGAATGATTTTTGTGATTGATTCTGTGATCTGTAATGAAAAATTAACACAATCTCAAACAGTTTTTGAGAAATCTACTATTATTTTTTATTTTGTTAATTAACACAAATAATGCTTATTTTTATTATATTTAACCAACGTTGTATTCAAAATGCAATACCAAGAAGTATATTTAAAGAAGAATGCTTAAAAAATTCACCACACACCGGTGACCCGAGATGGTATTCGAATCCATAATCTTACGTAATATTGTTGTAACCATTGAGCTACCCGAGACTGACCTGGAATTCTGCGATTTGAGTATGAGGAAATTTATTTAAAGATGGTGTGTATATCATTAATTGCATCAATAAAATGTGCAGAGATTCCTATTTTTAAACCAAAGAAAAAAAAACGTATTTAAACACTACCTGTTTAGTTTTTGCCGGTAGCTTAAAATGGATAGCTATTTTTCGTGTTTATGGTGAACTTCATTACCTTTTAGTATGGTACCTGTATAATAAAGGTGTTTTTTGTTAGTAAATATTACTCGTAATAACATGGTAACGATGCGTCCTACCAGACCGTGTATTTTGTCCTACCACACCGTGTATTTTGTCCTAGGTTTCCACATCCAAACTTGTTGGTCTTTGTTCTTTAACATAATTTCATAATTTGAAATTCTGACTAACGCGATATGATCTTACTGGATATCAGTTCGTAAAAATTATTTTACCAGTCCACACATATTACAATTTTTAAATAATCTATTAAAATTAAGAATGTTTATAGTAAAGATATTTAAAAAAAATTAATGTGATAAATAAGTTTTATATTTAAAAAGAAACCCAGTAACGGGCTTTTTTATTTACCCCATAAATAGTAAGCCTAGTCAGGCGTTTCTTTTACCAAGTAACACCTAAGCACCGAACCCCATAACATTATCCATAAAAAACACCTTTATTATACATAATACATACGTGTACTAATAAAGGTGTGTCTATGAATAAATCTATGAAAATAGAAAGAACAAATTATTTGCCGAGAAAGAAGTACAGATTATTGTCTTTTTGCATACAAACTTGCGTCTTTTTTATTATTTTTTATTTTATTTTATTTTTTATTTTATTTTTTATTCAAATTAAATTACGCTCAGTCCAAGTAATTTGTCGTATATAAAGAAAATACTTACAACATGCTGCCAGTACCAGTGTAGCTGCCATAGAGGTCACTCTGTTGTGAGAGTATGGAGGTCAGGAATTTGGGGCTGGGTGATATCGAAGAGGATGTGTCTCTGCGGTTAGCACGGACTCTCATAAGGAGTGCTGTATAAGGGGTGTTTTCGTTGGTCATAAATGAAATCCGACGCCAGCTTTCATCCGCATCGTCTTCCTGAATTGCTCTAGAAAAACATATATTCAAATAACTCTATTTTAAATAACCTTATTAATATAGTTTGTACTTAAAACGATACATTGACACCTCAAGTGACAGTAAATAATACCATTTTTGTAATATTATTTAAAACCAACTTCGAAAAAATTACGAAAAATTTATTTTAATCAATAGAAAGATGATTAAGAAATTCACTAAACATCATTTGAATTCTGGCGCGGATTTGTAGGCCATGTTTATAATCGAGTGTTGGTCGGAAGCATAATGTCATATGAAAGTTTTTGCCACATTTATAACCACTTTTGTAATTTAAAGATTATTTTTTGATATTTTTTAAACAACCAAAACATGTGTTTGTTATTTAGTATATGTTTCTTTTTAATACTTTTATTTTCACCTATTTTTCTAGAAACTTTAATATTTATTTACATCAGGGTCCGTTATTACCAAATCCACTCAAGTTATATTTATATTATTGCGCGAGTCATAACGATGACTCAGACTCGATACATTGCTTATATTCACTTCTGCGAATGGTTTGTGACAAAAAATAATACCCTATAAATGTGCCTGTTATATATATAAATTTTAAACTAACTTGTTAATAGTCTTTGTTTGTTGACATGTTAATTTAACGTGAATTAATATAAGAGTGTTTGCCTGTTGATATTTGCATAGAGGAAATTTGACCTCTATTTATATATTATATTCTGTGTTTGTTTGTTTCCTACTTTGGTTATTTTCGAAAACACTGATCTGATAATGAAAATACTTTCACCTACGAAAAGCTACATCATACGTTGGTGCTATAGGCTGTTATTTAGGAGGGTGAAGTCGTGGGATAACTGCTTGTCTAGCTCTATAATTTTAACTATTGCAGGTACACATTTATTTCAGAACGTCACTAAACGTAGCATTGTAACAAGTACGTAATAGGTCACCGCAAACCTTGACAACTATCACGAACAGTCGACTCTACTGAATAATTTAGCATTATGACTAACAGCAGAGACAAAATACATTTCTGAAACTTGCAAAAACTTATTAACTAAATCAATACCTATAGTAAGATGTTTATTTATACTTATAAATATATTATAGCATAACAATAGCTGACATTATAAATTAATTAAAAACGAACACTAATTACTGGTTCTCACAATTCAGTCTTATATAATTAATACCTACTCGTATGTGAAATATAAAACTGTCTCAATACAAAATCTAGCTAATTAAACAATGAGCGCATTTAACTTACACTGGACGATATTTATTGCCGTATAGTTTTGCATAGCGGTTTTTCCAGTCCTTTTGTTTTTTCCAAGAAGAAGATGTCTCCAAAGTTTCGGAATTCTCTGACATACTGAAAATCAACAAAATATACGGATAACAAACTTAAATTTGGGAATATAATAGGGATAATGACTGAGTTAAAAAAAAGAAATTCTATTTAGTACGTCAGTCAAATGATAGAAAAATATTAGACACGATTTTATATTTACTTCGATTTAACAAGAAATAGCCTAGATAATAGGCATTTAATTTGGCATTAACTTATTGCTTATTTTTTCTATTTTTTGTAGTAATGTTTAAATCAATAAATAGTTCATTTTTAAAATTTATTCCTCATTTAAGAATAAATACATATTTGATCAATTTTGCATTCACAATACTAATAATAAAAAATACTTAAAAATCCACATAAACAAGACTGACGAATTTTTCAAGCACTCGTTACTTTTTTCTCTACTACAGAGCATATTTTCATCAATGTTTAGGCATTCAATAAAAATATTAAACAATATCACGTACATTGCTCAGATTCCAAGATGAGTAGGTAAAGACCCCGTATTATGGAGACAACGAAGGTACCACAACACCCAGACTCGAGACAATACAGAAATGTTCATTTTCTACATTGATCCGATCGGGAATCGAACCCTCAGAGCTCAGAGATGGCGATACGTAGAAACCGCGGCGTGCGAACCACTCGGCTATGGACGTCGTAGGTAGGTCGAGGTAATATTTTTTTCTTCCGTTTGGGTGGATTTCCTGAACATTAATGAAAATACGCTCTGTAGTAGCACAAAAGTAACAAGCGCTTAAAAATTTGTCAGTCCTGTTTGCCACGGTCAAAGTGGATTTTTAAGCATTTTTCATTAAGAATAATTATATATACAATAAAACTTTGGCTATTTTTTTTAAACACAGCCGGCTGCATTTCTTTTTGGTAGATGACCCAATTTCATGCCACTTTATAAAAGGAAAGCGTTTGTAATAGAATTGAAATACAGAATTGGTTCGTTCTGAAAAGAGTGAGAAGAAGGCTGCATAATCTATTCTAATGGAAGCCAACGATTGTAAGATACCTACATAATTATATACTAGAAAGTTATTGTTACATATGAATATAAAAGGGATTAGATAAGTTTAGTATTCTTTAGTTGGTTACTTTGTTTTTTAGCCGAATTTGAATAATGGAAGAGGTCAGTTCGATGTTATTATGCATGTTCAACAGTGGATCGATACGATTATTCCTTTTTGTTTGGAATGGTAAGTAAGTATTCTTGATAGGCTTTCATTAAATTTTAATCAAATCTAATCCATAGTTGTGTTTAACTCGGAATTATAATGACTAACGGTCAGTTGCTCAGGTCAGTGCAATTGGCTGTATATTATGTAGAACGATGTAGTCGTCACTAAAAAGACCATTTTATAAGTATAACATCTATTTTAAAAATCCTACAGTAATTGTAAAAAAAACTACAAGGTCGATCAATACGTTCAAGACTTCATTTAAGGTTGGGTGGTTAAAAGAATGGCCACAAAATCTTTGCGAAAATTAACGCTTCTTGAACTTCATAAAGAAGCAACCTTTGTAGCATCATAAGCTATTTTTCTATTTTTTAAATTGGCTTTAGGCTCAGTTCAAATAGCAGTCTGTCAAAAGCCCATAATATGAATCAGTACTTGATGTCAATAAATACATTAAATAATTTCCAGACACAGTTTCTTAGAACGCCACGTTTACGAAATAAAAATATTTTAGAAATAATAATACATATATATTTAGTACACCAGTTTAATGTTGATTACTTAAATATATATGTAGGGCTATTGGGAACTGGAAACATTTCGTTTTGTTCAAATAGTTTACGTTTTGGAGTCAGTCTTGCGCATATAGACTTCTGTACTAATATTATACTCGTATATTAGCCTGGCCCAGTTGTTTCAGAGCTTAAGTTATTTAACGTCTTAGAAATTAATCTAAGTGTCTATGAGGTCCGACAGTTTTAAAACTTTATCGCAGTCTGACTACTTACAGACACAGTATACTTTATTCAATACAGCAAGTAAGGATTGACGCATAGCTTTCCGTTTAATTTTTAATATGATATTTGAGCAACAATGTTGAAAATTAACAGCGAGATTACCAACGCCTACTCCTTTTTTACAATCCTGCAGTAAACAATAACGATAAGTACTGATTGTGAGTTTTTAAGTTATCGTGTAGGTAACGTTATGAAGGTCACGTTTTTATATTTTATGTATTTTTATCAAGCGTTGAACAATTACTATAAATAAATAAACGTCATTATATTTTATAAATTTTGCATTCACAACTATACTTATAAATATCTTCAATGAAAAATGCTTAGAAATTTTACCAGCTCCTGTACTTGAGATAGGACTCATAAACCTTTCGCAAATATATATATATTTTAAATTGAAGGTAAATTAACGTTTTGTAAAATATTTCGGTTGAAGCAATCTTATTTACAAAAACAGAATAAATAACACAATTTCTGCCGTCGGTTTTTGCTCTTGTTTATTAAGAATATTTTTTTGTAGAAAGTGTACCAAAGGGTGACGTCTGTGACTTTTTAACTCAATGTATCACCTTAATTTGATGATTACGAAAAAATAAAAAATACGTGTTTAATATTTTCCAAAATAGGACAACTTGATGGACAAACACAAAACTCGTCTTCATCCCTATTCCGTAGATGCTTGTATGCCTTGTACGTATATAAAGTGAGCAACCATCAAGGCAAAATCTAAATTCTAAAAGGTTTTTCCCGTTTAATAGCAGAATAACAAATTTTCGAAATACTTACTCCACTTTTGCGACAGATGTTGGCATTTTTAGTGAATTTCACCAAATAAAATTATTATAAAATATTTGAGCGAGTAAAAGTTGTTGTACTTTTGTCATTCCATGATTATTTCGGTAACGCCAATTTTTGTCGATGGATTAAGTATATTCTTTTTGATCTTGAATGAATTTTAATAAAATCTTGTTCCTTGAATAACTCGTTGGATGAACCGATACAGCTATTAAATGATTTATATTTTAGCTTCTTAAGTTAAGAAATGCTTCTAAAACTAATACAACACCATAGATCTAGAAATGAAAAAATAACTGATCATTAACGTTCAAAGCTTTTGATCATTTTCGTTTTATTATCTATGATTACTATGTCGTTATACTATGTGTTTTCCGATCAATAATAATCAATAAAATATATTATCTTTGAATTCAAAATAAATAAGTTTTGGTAGACCCGTTGTGCTTTCATTAATGTTATTTTGATTTTACGTGTAGAATCTATTAGAGGGAGATTAAACAGATTATATTACGGATATACATTAATATTTTAATGTAGTTAAGTTAATATTTTAATGTTGTAGTTGTAGCTGGTTAAATAACCAGCTTGTACCATAGTTTAGTTTTAATAACGTCTATCGTTTTCTTGTGTCACTACATTAAAATATTAATGTATATCCGTAATATTATCTGTTTAATCTCCCTCTAATAGATTCTACACGTAAAATCAAAATAACATTAATGAAAGCACAACGGGTCTACCAAAACTTATTTATTTTGAATTCAAAGATAATATATTTTATTGATTATTATTGACCAACAGAAACTAATTTATTTACTTGACATTGGCAGAATTGTGCAAAATGCGTAGATAGGTCATTAATAAAAGAAGAAGAAGAGGGTAGATCCGTTTTTCAATCGTCATCTTTTATTTATTTAATTTTCATTTTACGTGTGGAAACTAATTTATTCACTTGACTGACAGAATTTTGCAAAATGCGCATATAAAGAAGAAGAAGGTAGATCCGTTTTCAATTGTCATTTTCATTTATTTCATTTTACACGTAGAAAATAATTTATTCACTTGACGTTGGCAGAATTGTGTGAAATGCGCAGATAAGCTATTAATAATAGAAGAAGAAGAAGTTTTGGTAAATCCAAGTTATATGTTAAGTGGTAATATTAATTATTCAACACTAAGGTATTTTTGATGATTTTCTTTTATGACAACGGCAAAGCGATTTGATGACCTCTTTCCTACTTTCTATTATTAATAATTTTAAAAGTTTTTTAAAATTATTTCATTAATGGGAAGCTACATCGTGTGCGGTGAACATGCGGCTATATTTTATCCCGAAAAAACAGTAAATAAAGGATGATAATGGGAGTGGAAGTTTGTATAAGTAATTAAAACGTTACCATAGTAACCATTGTTTACTATTTAATTTGTCATTGTTATTATATGCGTGTCATTATATATTCAAATAAGTCGTATTGAGAAAACTTATTTTTTAAAGCATGATAAAATTAAAATATTTATTGAGGACCAATTTAAATAAAGTTCACAAACTAGTATCGTTTTCGAAGTGACATCGTGAGATATTGGTACCGCTTCTTATTAACCTACAAAGTAGGTAGTGATTCGGCTCACATTGTGAAATTATTTCTTGATTAGTTATGTTATATGGTAACTTACTACACATTTCCCGATATAAGTATTATTTATAAATTACGAGGTCCCTAGTAGTAGTTAATTAATATATATGAATATTTTTTACTTATTATTATAACAAGATTTAATAAAGATTTCCTTGTCATAGAGTTAAAAGACATTATTCAAAATCTTATTTTTGCAGTGTTTTGCACATACTTGTACTGTACCACAGCTGTGACTGTATCTAGTGACAGCTCAAAGGCACTGAAATGATGTAATCAGTTACCAATCTCAAATGAGAATGAAGCTAATAGTTTTAATGAAGCTCCATGGAGTTCTAATGAAGAATTGTCCACACGTTTCGTTCAGTCATGCTTGGTGGTAGTTGTATGTCACATAGTCTAAATTAGTTTTCCATACAATGTTTATTTATAATTTTCCGCTAAACGTCGCGTCATAAGGCAATGTGTTTTGTCAAACCGCAATCTATTTTGATTTTTTGTTTGTTGACTATGCATGATTAAATTATTTGGTGAAAGTCCATTATTTCTATGTACATATTTCAGACCTATTTCGTTTTATACATTAAACCGGTATGTGCACACTATTAATATATTTAGCTACATTACGAACTACGTAGCACAAGTTTTTTTGTTTCGTTTTATGAGACATTTAATCTTCTTTACTATAATAACAGGATATTATGGTTATGAAACACTTTCTTATATCGATATAATAAGTCAGAGTCAAAATATATTTATTCAAATAAACTTGTTTCGAGTTCTTTTGAACTGTCCAACATTTTTTCCCTACCATTTGTTCAAGACGACTATTGGCTGATAATAAGACCGAGGAAGAAACTCACCAACGACATTCACAAAAACCATGTCATTACCAGTTCAATACATTGTATAAATATATGAGTCACTTTACATTACAATATTAACAAAATAAAGAAAAAACTATGATGTTACAATGTACAGGCAACAAGATAACTTTGAGATATAATGAGTTTAAAAGAAATCACCATCTTAGTCCAACATTCATATCTGTTATTTAATCAGACACCTTATAATAAGCTTTTTTTTATTAGATTTAAACTGATATAATATCTAATTGTTGTATTTAGCTTTCTAATTGTTGTATATTAAAAGAAACTGCTTAAGCGGTTAGGTGTGGTGTGTAGGTATGTACATATATAGGTAGGTATGTACATAGGTAGGTGGTACATACACAACCAAATATAAGCAACTAAATCTTTACAATTTTTAATGCTATGAACATTAAAAATTGTAAAGAATAGTAATGCTTTAGGTACAATTTTAAAATTGTTGTTATATAATAAAAATTTACAATTATTAATTGCTGATCCTTAAATACAAATGTTTGTAAAAATTTATTCTACACATTCTTCTTATTCCATCTCACATCTTAACTGTTTTTTAGGCTCTTCATATTTTTATACTCCATCCATTCCAATTTTATTTTATATTGTAGCAATCTTCTATTATACTGTTTTTGTTTTAACTGCATTATAATATTTTTTCAGATAGATAAATGAAATTCTCAATATCTAAATATTTTATTAAAATCTATATGTACTATTCATAGTACAAGACAAAGTCGCCTTTCGTTTATTAATTATAGTAATGTGTAAAACAAAATATAGTTTATGTGTATCTGTGCCTTATGGAAACCTTCTTTGATCTCTTCCAAATATATATATATTCAAAATAAAATAAAATAATAAACTGCTTTGTTATATTTTATTGCTGGATTCCTGTAAAGATTGATGTATCATGTTTACAACGGCCTAGGCAGGTAGAGCTGGCTTGTTACAGGTCAATAGATCTCAAGGTGATCATGTTTCTAAATAAGTCTCAACGTCTTATGTAGTATAGGTATTTTTGCAACTTACATAATAGCAAATAGTAGCTTAAAATTTTCCTACGCAAGATGAACAATGGTTTTTATATTTATTTTTAAGATAAAGAAACAGCGGTTGACAAACAAATTAAAATCATAATAATTTTTAAAAGTTAACTTTCATTTAATACAATTCTAATTAATTATTACTTTATTGCCGATTTTCAACCGTCGCACCGTCAAAATGAAATTGCAACCGTTGCATTCAATGTTAAGCCTTATAGACAGGGTTTATAGCTATAACATGGCTATAACAATTATGGAATAATCAAACTCTTAGGTATGTAATTACAAACTGGTATTTTTGTAAGTGATACCGTTTTCATGATTTGATCAGTACTTTCGAACATTAACCCTACCACAAACAAATTAAGTTTAAAACCTTGTATTTGAACCACCTACCTATGTATGTAACATAAGGTGGTACATACATACATAATGCTTATACTTATAAGCAAATAATGCTTATATTTATAAGCCACTAAATCTTTACAATTTTTAATGCTATGTACATTAAAAATTATAAAGATTTAGTTGTCTATATAAAACAACTACTCATAAACATACTCGAAATCACTTCCCTAAATATGTTTCTGGCTTCTTTTGCATACAATTGTTAAATATTCTGCAGCAACAGTAAAAGTTTAGCCTAAGTAACTAACAATTTTTGGTACAATACAACTGACAAATAAAATTTCTGACGCATTGTCATTAATTTCATAAAAACAACTGCTCTCACGGGAGACTTCGCAGACACCTTATGATTGCGTCGCTTTGAAGTTGCAGCGTTTTAAGCTAGGAAGAGATTTGATAAGTAATTTGATTTGTGGTCGTGTGGCGGGGGCGGCGGGCCGATGGCTGGCTGACTGGTCTGTCTCGTTCGTCTCGACTCGATTGCTAGTCATACCGACCGCGATTGCACGCGCGCACGTCGCGCCTCGCCTCGCCGGCACCCGCTACTCTCGATAACGCGCCCTATTTGAACACAACACTCGCTCTAGCTACACAATCATAATATAAATACGTACTATTTGCTATTATCGTGGTGGGCATCGATTGTCGGTTAAAACCTTCGCAAGTTCCAAACCGGCTCGGCGACCATATGATCCGCATTGTGCCCGTCTGATCTCCGACATCGGAGAACAGTCACGATGTTTACCGATTGAAACTATCAAAAAGTGCATTCGTCTTTGTGTAGACATCCGTGTAAGATGACTCAGTGACAGAAAACTTTCTAAGTGTTGTGCTGTTGTGACACGATTATGTTGGAGATGTGAATGTTGTCAAGTTCGAAATTGGTGTTATTTGAAAAGTGCGATGGCTGGCACTAGTGAGGAAGGTGGAAGTGCGGAGGTGGAGGGTCCAGCGGTCGAAGGCCGCAAACGTGGTCTCAGCGGGTCGATGTCGCTGCGGACACGCAAGTTGGGCCGGCGATTGTCACGCAGCATGTCAATCGTGGCTTTGAAGCTGCCGGAAAAGGCCCAAAGCATCACGAGGACATCTTCTAAGTTAATGCGGACCGGTACCCGCGACAAGAAAAATCGCGCGTTCGAATTGTCAGTCATACTACCAGACAAAACTCAGAAACAGGTAGGCTACTTGTTTTGAATAGACTTTGCTATATTAAAACGATTAGACCTTGATCTTTTCTTGATCTAATCACTTTCACACAATAATTTAATCACGAATTGGTTTGCAAATTAAGTAGGTACATACATAGTTTTTGACCTTGTATTAAAAACATTTTTTTATTTTGCTACATCAGTCTTCATTTTTAACATAAAGTTATTTGTGTTAATCCATCTTAAGATAATGAGACCGACTGTTTATTATATTAATCATAATCAAATAATACAGTGCCTATGTAATATGTGGATAAGCATAGGTTTAATGTTATTTGATAGTAGGTATTACGAGGATTGATAAAATCACTTATAGGATAAAATTGCCAATTTCACAAAATATTACAACTGATATTTTAAGTAAGTTTATCGTATAGTTTATGATATGTTATGATTTCCATTTAATGTAATATGATAATATAGAAATGAATATTCTTGTGTTTAGCAGAACTGTGTTTTTACGCCGTGATTCTATAATTCGACTAAGTTTTGAATTGAAATTAAATGAACCGCTGTCATCTGTTCCAATGTTAGTAATTATCCTATTAAAATACCTATATAAAAACAAATGAAGTACTTCACTTTCATCACTTCATGACTCATTTTAATATATTACAGATCATTTGATAAAAACAAATATTACTTCATCATAGAGCACGATTTCTTAAGACGCTACCGAACGACTACACAGTCATTTTGACGTTTTTATTTAGATTTTAAATCAATCACGAAATATTGTCAGTTTTGAATAAGCTAATCAAATCAAATCAAATCGAATAATTTATTGGCCATATAACTCAGAAGGTTACACACGGCAAGTCTTTTACAATAAGCATATTAAATTAAAAATAAAGGTTTAAATCATGCAGGTCAAATCATTGTAAGTAGGAATGTCAAATAAATTAAGTATCTTAACAATGTCAAAATGGTTATTTTTCCGATCCTTAATAATCAATTATATCACAGTCAATTAAATTACAAAAGAGTGAGTAAGTTCAGTTAATATACTAATCGTATATTAACTGAACTTACTTACTCTTTTACTTGAAGTTTGTATTTTTCAATATGTACCCTATATAATAATAGGTATGTATCGTTACTGGTACGAAGACAGTGAGATTTGATAGGTAGGGAAAAGATAGAGACAGATAAATAAATTACTTATTTTAAGAAGTAAAATCATTTTTTTCCATAAAGAATATTTACCAGTACAGCATTGTGAATGCAAAACTAATAAAATGTAATAATTAGATATTAATTTTATTATAACTTAAATATATTACCCTCCAATCCGCATTTGGCCAGCGTGGAGGGTCATGGCCCATCCTCCTTAACCATCCATAAGGAAGGCCTGAGCCCCTGCAGTGGGGACGTAAAAGGGCTGATGATGATATGATGATAACTTAAATATCAATTACCTTAAAAATTTGACATTCGTATGTAGTATACTTTCTGATTAATTTTACAGCTTATATTAATTTATTAATATAAATATCACAAAGAATAATATGTTTCTTTTCATATTAATGAAAGTGCCATTTCAAGATTCGGTTACATGTAGGTATGTATCGCTTATAAAGAGGTGTATTTATTGAGTCAATGCATTTACGAGTAGTTGTTGTTTCGTCACATGCCACAGCACTGGCGCCCACTTCTCATTCACCACGATACGATGTATATATTATTGGTACCTACTAACAATTGTTGCGATTGAATAGGAATACGGATCCGGAAAGATTTAGAATAGAGTGAAAATGCAACAATTTGAATAATAATCAAATTCCACGATGCATGGAAAGTCGGTGTGCTTAGGCATATTATATAAAACAGTAAATGAAGTGATATTTTGTTTCTCTTGAAAAATAAATGTAAACGGCTATCAATATATGGACAAAATAATTCGATAGGCATTTTAGTTTAGAATGTCCGGTAACAAAATTTCTATTTAAGTACAAACAATTTTGTATTTTCGTTTCCGGATTTCTATTTTACTGTTATTTCATTTTCATATAAATAAGGTTGCACTGGTTTACGATTAAAGCTATACAAAGACCAATCTTAAATATTTCAGGCATTGTTTGTTTGTCATTGAAATGCTGAATCGTGCTCTTTGTCATGAGGCGAGCGCACCACAATGAGATTAACCCATTCAACATGGACGATTGTCGAGTTTATGCTAGTAAGGTTCCGGATGATTGCACCAATATTTAGATTGGAAACCGACAATCAGAGAGTCCACTGCCGACTATCTATCTGATCGTTTATTCTATAACGACAGGATAAGGAAGTGGTTCAAATATTATACGTTGAGCAAGATGTTCAATTGTCTAGTTAAGGGCTAGTATACAAACAACTTGAAGGACTTGAATATTATACTAGATAGATATATTGTTTATGTAAGTGAAATTATTTTCTTATTATACCTACTGTTTTTATTATAGAATCAGATTAATGTTATATTAACAATAATATCAAGATTTATGAGTAAATTGTGCAGTTTATTGTAATCTTTTACAATTTAGATTATATTGTTCAATATTTTTTTCTATAAGCAAGTCCAATAGTCTTCAGAGTTACAGAATAAGGAGCCCGATTAGTTCACTAACACATTCCCAATAGAAACTCCTGATGTGGTTACATTGTTTATAAAATAAGATCTTGTGGCAAAGCTTGCGGTCGTAAAACACGCCGGTAAAAGATCATGGCTCAGCAATTAACTCGTTGTTTTTGCCGCTAATGCATTTCCTTTAAAAAACCAAAGGACAGGTTATTCCGGAACGAATTTCCTTGCTGAATTGGATTCAGCTAATTATCTCAACGTTGAGCGCTACCGGAATCGATATGCGGCAATTTCAATTAAATTTACAGAAAGAATTGTTAATTCCGTTACGTATAACAAATTTTTTAAAAGGCTAAAACTCAATGTCATTGTTATGTTTATTTGGTGCTTTAATTCATAGCTAAACATATTATTTGATTTGTATTTAGAAAATCATTTTTCATTTAGGTAAGTATTGTTGTTGCGAAACCTTCACCCACTTGCTGAAGTTAAGTCTAACAAAATCATTCTAAGCGCAATTGGCTGAATGTAGGCGGTGAATGGTTTATTAACTGTTTTAGTCCCAAACACGAGGTAACAATAGATATATACAAATTCTGAAGTGTCTTTGTTCAAGCAATCTACATATACCTAGGTATATTAGTCACATCAAATATTCACAGGGACGTAACGGTTTCTTTAATAAGTACACTATAGGAACTTGTTATTTATGTATAGGAATGTACTTTATTTAATTCCTGCAAGTTTCTGAATTGTGTCAGAAATATATATATACATAGTACCATGTGTGGTGTACATGTTTGTGTTGGACTTGGCATTTATATATTTGAATTGTTACGTCCTTGAGTACTTACACAATAATATTATATCCACTATAATCGGACAATGTTTGTTTATTTGTTTATTTTTTAGTGTGTAGTTGAATTCAACTATTTTTAATAAATGTAGTTGAATTCACAAAATAGAAGCACGAAATATAATAATGATAGTTTCAATTTCTGACAACTTTTCCTGAGTAATGCAAGAGAACCGTTTAAAGTTTTAAAATTCCAAACGAAGAATATCATCCAGTTTTATAATCCTGGTATTTTTATTTCTATTAAATAAACCGGAATTACTTAGCCTTTTCACCCGCAAATCAAACATTGAGTTGCACAAACGCCCGTTAAAGTTCTCATTAGTTTAAAGTGACATTACCCATACAATTATGACATTCATTAGAACTTAAAGGCGTCATTAAACCTTAATGGGCGTTTGTGCAACTGGCCGTAAGTCTTTCATAAATATTTAATGTATATCTTAGTAACATTTGATATTAGCTTACAAAAATAATGGACGAGTTAGATAAATTACATTTTTATATTAAATATTTAGATACCATCTGTATCCTGCGGAAGAAACAAAAGATAGCTGAACAGTAAAATCCCAATACTATGTTAAAAATAACAATGAACTCATTGACACATTATTACTCATAAAAATATAATGTTGAAGTTCTAAGTCAACGAAGTAAGTACAAAACAGTACATTATATTAAAATTTTTAATTTTGTATTTCACGGTAAATGCATCAAACCTAGAGAAAATTGATATTTTAAAGAAGGTCTTATTGTTGACTGCATAAGTCGAAACGTGACACGATCTGTACGATTTCGCAAAGAAAATATAAAACTTAAGCTAATATTTCAATTTAATTTACAAGAAGTAAAGTGTTTTTAAAAGTCATTTTCAAAAATTGCTACAAAATTAGAAAAATTGCTTCTTCTATTGATTAAGATTAGTTATGTTTTTGTTTCTTATAAGTAACTGCGCTGTGTTTTACAGTGCTAATAAAATGTACTTATTTAATATTAAGGAAAAATAGGAGCAAAACATTGATCCATTTCCTTTAACTATACTTGTTCACGAGCATGTCGCACATGATATATGTTGTCGGTTAATATGGTTTATATTATAAAAATGTAGGTAGCAAACCAGTTTACAATTTTAGTGCCTGACATTTTTTAAGAAAATTTTCATACAATCCCACTATTGCGAGCAGTTTACGACGATGACTTTAAGTTTAAAGAATGTTCTCTAAAGAAGTCAACGTTCCTAATATTAAAATTCGCAGTACGTACGCGACAAAACACATTGTTTTAACACAATAATGAAGCTCTGGCAGGCGAACGATCGTTTAGTATAGTTAGTTTTAAAGAGGAAGAACGCCCACGTGCTGCACTGGCCGATGCACCTCTCAAACAGGATATAACAACCTCCTTGTTTGAATACGAAAGGCAACTGAATAAGACATTTTCTTATTAGGCATTTATACCAAATGGGTATGTGACGGGATCGATGCTTAGGCAAATGAATAAAAGGCTGACTAAGCTTGAAAATTTTATTTACTAGAGGGTAATAAGAAAAACT